ATTTCAAACTTCATTTCTGAAAAAAAAAACAAAAAAAAAAACTGAATGTGTAAAATTAGGCCTGTCATGATAACAAGTTTTGCTGGGTGATTGTCTCAGAAAACATTGCAATAAACTATAATATTGTTTGAAATTTGACAATAATTAGTAATTATTGTCAAATTTAAGAAGCAATGTTGGCAATTTTTGTGTGTAGTACCTTTTTTGGCCACTGGATGGCAGTATAAGATTGTTTGAATCAAAGGATGGATAGTGAGGGAGCCAGCAGTGTGTCTCTTTAAGAAAAAATAGGAGGGAGGCCCCTTGACGTGACATGGGTTATCTCTTGTTCCTTTTGTTCAAATCTCAAAATGGCGGACGCTCGGTGTGGTTTGAGCTCTTTGGCATAGCATTTTTCACACAAAGCTTTTAATGAAAATTTTAAAATTCAGTAAAATGTTCTCAGCTTCTTTTTGCAGAGAAAAACAACTTTTTAAACAAAGGCACTGGTTTCAACCGTGAATTTTGGAGCTTTGACAAGACAGAGTTTTTTTTCTGAGGTTGGCCTGTTAGCTTAGCTCGTAGCTTAGCTTCTCAGCTTAGCTGCTTTTAACGATCAAAAAACGTGATTTTGGACGATTATAACATATTTTAAAGAAAAGGGAAAAAAGAGAAAGGTGGAGTCAGTGAAGAACGCTGGAGTTGAGCCTTTTCTCATCCAGTGTCTTCAGTAGAAAGTGAGAGACAAGAAAAAACGATAAAGCCGATAAATGAAAATGAGGTTGATAATTTTCATTTATCATGCGATTAATTGATTTATTGTTTATCGCGACAGGCCTGTGTAAAATGTAAACTAAAACCAAATGCAAAGATCTGCAACTTGCATAAATCTATATAAACAAACTTTGAATTTGACAGTAGAAACACATCTCCAAACAAAAGGCTTTAAGTGCCAGTGGTATGAATAAGAAACAGGTTGAGGAGCATCTTGTAGCAGATTAGCTAATTAGCAACATAGTAAAAAGGGCTGGACATTAAAAGAGCATTTTAGAAGTAAAGATGGGCGCAGCTTCACAAGTCTGAGAAGAACTGTTAAAAATTGTGGAACATGTTCCGGACAACGTTGCTCAAAGGAAAATTGGAAATTCTTTTGAATATTTATTTATATACAGTTCAAATCAATAATGGGCCCTCATTCCCCAGTTGTAATGAGGACACGAGGGCCCTCAGGGGCCACCGCATTTCAACACAGGTCTGATTCCATTCTGTACACCACTGCATGGACTCAGAACAGAACTCAGAAATTTACAACAGTATGACCTTGAGGTAGAAGAATCTGGATACTGAAGTGACCTGCCTGCAGTCCGGACCTCTCACCCTCTGAAAACATTTGGAGCAGCATGAAACAAAGACCCAGGACTGGTGAGCAGCTAGAATCCTACATGGGACAAGAACGAGACACTTCCCTTAAAACACGCTGGTCTCTCCAGTTCCTTGTAATATACAGACTGCTGGTATAGTTGAGGACGTTTTAAAGTGATCTATCACCCCCTTTTTATTCAGATCACATTAAAAACGACTTTAATATATTTTTGTTTCAACATTAAATATGCTTACTATGTTCAGTTTGAATAAAGTGTGGGTTTATGAAATTTGCAATCATTGTTTTCTTTTTGTTGGCATTTTTCACAAAGTCCAGTTTTTTTCCCCAGGTTTGGAGTTTGTGTATAAAATGAGATGGTTGCTGCCATAGAACGAACCACAGTGTCTATTATTTAGTCTTATAAATCAAAACTCTAAATTCTCTTCCAGCAGACACAGACGACTTCTCCCTCCCCAAAACATCGAAGATCTAGTTCCACCGACAGCGTAAGATGCCTCTTTTCATTTGATCCCTGCTCCTTTTTTTGACTCTGGGCTCTTCTGGGACATTCCTTGCAGAGGTATCTGGGGTCTTTGTACTTCATGGATCACTTTGAAATAAAATAATCTTGTCAATTCTTCGGTTCTTTTCCTGTTCAAATCCAGCCACTTTAATTCATCATTAGATAGATCAGACAGGAGCGTTCATGAATAGACTTTTTTGTTTGTTTGTTTGAATTCCTCTGCACCCTCTGGAATACATATTTCTTTTAATTACAGAACATTTTATTATTAAACGTTCCCAAACTGATTAATGATGAACAAGTGTAGACTCATTGAACATTTAATTATACTAATGGGAACTTGTCTTTCTTTTTTTTTTTTTTTTTACGAGCAGCTAGGATGTATGGAAGGGCAGTAAAAATGCAATTTTACATTATATCCATAAACTCAAAACATTTAATGTGACCTGACAACAGTCTGCATTGTTCCGATGTTCTTAAAGCCTCAGCTGCGTACGGTAGAAAGGGGCGCCACGTTTCTGTGCCCCTACAGATGTAACTAGAGAAATTGAATTTCCTACAAAAATACAGTGTGAATGTTTGTTGCACTAGAACTTGCTGAAAAACAGCTGAAAAACAGCTGAAATTAGCTAAAACACATGCTGAAATGTAGCTGAAATGGAAGAACAATCCCAATTTCGCAGAAGAAAGCAGAAAGAACACATATTTGCTGAATTAGGTTTAAATAAGCAGAAATTAACACAAAATTTGGGAAATAAGGTAAAAAAGATGAAATTAGCAAAAAAAAAAAAAAAAACTGCTGAAAAGTAGCTGAAAAAGCAGAAAGAAGCTTAACCTACCAAAATGAAGTGGAGAGCGATGAAATGAGCACAAAATATGTGGAATTAACTGAAAAAGCTAAAATTAGCATGAAACAGCCAAGTAACAGCTAAAATAACAGAAAATGCTGAAAGGAGCATAACAAGCTGAAATTAGCAGAAAGGAGTTAATTAGTCTGAAAGTAGCAGAAATGACCATGAAAAACTTGAATTTATATGAAAACAACTGGTTGCCCAATCAGGCTGAAAGAAGCAGAAATTAGTACAAAAATGTGGAAATCATCTGAAAAAAGCAGAAATTAGGAAAAAAAAAAACCAGCTGAAAAGTAGCTAAAACAGCAGAAAGAAGCTTAAATTGCCAGACCAAAGTGGAGAGAGCACATTTTTGCTGAATTTAGTTGGAAAAAAGTTGAAAAGAGTGCAACAAATGTGGAATTAGATGAAAAAGCTTAAATTAGCATAAAACAGCTATATAGTAGTTGAAATAGCAGAAAAGTTGAAACTTGTAGAAAGAAGCTGAAAGAAGCCTAATAAGCTGAAATTAGCAGAAAGAAGTTAGAAGAAGCACAAAAATGTTGTTGTTAGCAGAAAGAATCTGAGAGGAGCACAAATCAGCTGAAAGTAGTTGAAAAAAAATATTCAAATTTGCACAAAGAAGCTGAACAATAACAAAATGTGAAAGGAGCAGTAAAAGGTTGTAAACAGTTCTAAAGATTTGAAGGAGGTAAAATGAGCTCAATTCATTTTCTATGAGAAAAAAATGGCAGAAAAGACTAAATATTTCAAAAAGCTAAAGCTGCAACAATACCAAAAGTCATAGCACCCTTTTCCTGAACAAGCTGAACATTTTGATACATGAATTGTTGAAATAGTTTGAAAACTGCCGGACGATAAACGGTCTCTCCGAATAATATATGGGGGGGGGGGGGATGGATCACAATAGTGTGAATGCTTCATAAACATTCACAGTATTAGGCTCCTCAGTGTCCTGCTGCCTGTATCGCTTCATTTAGAGGAAACTACGGTATTCTATTTGAAGAACTTTGTGTGCATGTGCGCAGCATGTGGATATTTGCAACAGTGCTCGGAGACGACACACTGTATTCTCAAATGCATTCAGTGGTGATGCATTACGTTTTTGCTGGAAACACGATTATCTGCGTACACTCAGGTGTTGCTAAGGTTCTTGCTTTTGATGCTCTCTGTGTGCTTTCCTTAAAGAGCATCAAATTATCTTCAACCACTTGTTTTACACACTGAAATGCACTGCTTCTGCAGGTAGCGAGTGAATTTTCCTGCAGCCCACATAGCAGTAACTTGTCAAATATTGATGCCTGTGAATAACTGTGAATATTGTGAAGGGCAAAGATGCATGGATAGATATGCCATCTCTTAAGTTGCCCTCTCAAATAGGTGCATGCTCTCTGTGGGGGTTTTCATTATGTTTCTAGTCTCTAACGAAAGAAAACTTGCATGTTTGGTCATGAAAAGTTTTTGGAGTGGGTATATGTGGGAGGAAACCTTGGAGGTTTTTTGTCTCTATATTATTCATGGATGGATGGATGGATGGTTACTTCTTGCTCATAAATAAATATTAATTCTTTCTTTTTTTGCAGGGTAACCTCTGACTATTGGTTTTTGATCATTCCATGCTTCCCTCTCACCAAATCTTCTTGATGATATTCTGACCCTTTAAAAAATCATATCTAAATGTCTATAAACTGAAATATTCAAAAGCTCTCCTCCAGACAGATTTTAGTCATAAATATGATAGTTTCAAGGAATTTCAAATATTCTTTTCTGCGCAGCAGCAGCAGAGATTAAGAGTCGAGGTGTCCTCAGCAACCTCAATCAAAGCATGCCTGAGTCCTGTAAAAAAAAAAAGTAGATTTATTAATAGTTATTGGTACTTTTCATTCATTTTTGTTTACAAATTTAGACCCTGTTTAGAGAAAAATGAAAAGTTAAACATTGAATAAAGCCTAAAGCTCTGATTAAAATCCCTTTTATATAATAAAATGTTTGATTTTTATTTTAATTTAGAAAGGATTTTTATCAGAGCTTTAGGTTTTTACAAGTGTATTGATTCTGCAAAAGCCAAGAGCTTTGATCACACACTCAATAAAAAAAAATGACGAAGCATATTTTTTAAATATTCATGACCATTGCTGTGCGTTTGGAGAGAAGACATTTGATGATGCAAGGGGGCTTTCTTATTTTTCATTTTTCTTTTCCAATTATTGTTGCTGTAAAGCGGACGGTGGAACACTGATGGCTTTTCTAGGCGCTCACCTCGTCTCTCTCTTCCTGTCCTCAGATCGAGAAGATCATGACGCTGATCGGAGCGGGCATCGAGTCTTCCAGAGATCAGCAAGGTAGAGTTGATCTGACTGACGGTTTGTGTTGTAAAATAAACATTTGTTTAATCCAGTCATTATTAATCAGTGAAGCTGAAAGTTTGAAGTCTAAGTAGTGAACAGGATAGTTTTTTTCATTTTAACAAAATCCTGATTGTCATAGATTTACCCACCTCTGTAATGAAAGACACAACGGTTGCTGTGTTAATTTTGTGTACAAGTAACTGTAAGTCCTCTAGTTTAGAAACCCCTAAAGCTGCCAGTGTAGCTGTTCACTGAGCTGTGACTGTTCAAGATTATTGATGAATCAAAATTGAAAGAAAACAGGTGAATTTTGAGTGTTGGCAACTAACGAGCTGTGGTTTCCTTTTCAACAGCCTCCTTTTGAAAATCACAGCCCATGTTTGTTCATTCATTCAACCTTTATTTAAACAGATAAATCACATTGAGCCTCAAAGACTCATTTACAAGTGAGACCTGTTTGGACAGACAAAAACAACGGTTAACTGGACACATGTAGGAGTTGGAGGCGAAAAAAAAAATTCCTATCAGATGTATTTTTTTTCCTGCCTGAGAAAAAAAAAAACCCCTCTAATAATAAAAAAAACCACCTTGCACAAACAAGAACATATTTACGTAGACAATCTGCAGACGGGGGAGACGAGAGCGGTCAGCAATGTTCATAGATGCTCTCGAGGTCACTGTAAGAGTTCTGATAAGGATGGAATAATCAGTCAATGTCCTCCGGTGAGATCCATAAACATTCTCGAGGGATGTCGAGGAATGGCCAAGAATAACGTCTATGAGAATCCAAGAGTCCTGAAATGATGACACAAGTTTATTCAGCTGGTTTCATCTGGTTATCAGTTGGTAATTCCTCAGGGAGGGGGTGGTGAGCGTCAGATCACATGTTCTCCAGGTGAATTCAGATAAGATGGCCTTCAAGGCCAGCCAAGGGAGCCAAATTAAGATAAACACACAGTTGTTTTGGGGACAGGCAGAACTTAATGACATCTACCTTGAGTCTGTGTTGGTCGACTCGGTTCTGAAATGTCCAAATTACATGGCCACACCGATGGAACATGACTGAGTAAAATCCCCGAGATCTGATCCATTCAGCCCAAAGCATTTGAGTCTGGGTACTCGAGACACGAACCAAACCATCATAAAGGCAAGCAGCGTGATCGGGTCCAAATTTGCTGCCGACGACTTCCATGATTGTAGATAAAACCAGCAACCAGCCAAATCCAAAAAGCAGGATCTAGTTATCGTAAATCCAATTAAATATGCGTCCTTAAAATCCACAGATGGCAGCAGAGATAGACACATCATCAAGTCTTCCAGTCGATGAGATATCCAGCTGCGCGTGTGCCAACAGGGCAAATCGGCTCGCCTAAAGCCTGTCTTTTATTCAAAGAAATGTTGTAAATTGAGTTGAGGGACCTACTGATCAAAACAAGTCCATAATTATGGTTCGGAAGAAATGCAAGAGAGGCTCACAGCAGTTTCACAGACAGACAGAGCAGCAAAGCAAAGTGGAGAGGGAGGGGAAGGGAGAAGCATCTGATCTCGGCCAGAGCAAGTGGTGAAGTGAGCATCGCTTGTAAAATTCCAAATTCTCACATTGTTTTCTTGGCCATCTCGTACCTGTGTTGGCCCACTTTGTACTCACATTGTCTGCCACCAACCATGTTTAAGATTTAATTTGTTGGCTTTAGTTTAAAAGATTTGGATCAGTTTCTGTACCCCAGTGTTTTAGACCTAGGCATTTGGAGCTGTAGCCTCGGATGTTTTCGGTCTCAAACAGCTCCTGTAAAGACGTCAAAATGCACCCCTAGTGCTCCGAAATGAATAGTACTGGTAACTAAATATAGGTTTGAGATGCTTGAGACAACTCTGGGACTAGTGTGAGAGAAAATTTGTTGCAGAATTTCTTGTCAACTTGTTCAAATTTCAAGCAACAAGTGGCGAAAAAATTGAGAATCCTGCAAATGTCTTAAACAAATTTGGAGACTCTCCTGTGAATACAGTTCACCACATAGTCTCCAGCAGTCACAGCCCAGTGAGATTCTGCCCTTAGGTTCAAATATTTGAAATCAACCTGTACGTTAAGGCTGGTATAAAAGAGTTTAGCATCTTTTATCGCAGGATCTCCTGCAGCAATGGCTGCATTTCTTGTCTTGTAGGGACTCTATTCATTCTTCATTTAGTAAAATACAACTTTGATTTGCTATAAAATATTCCAAGTCATGTACCATACATAGTTTTAGACATAGATAGAAGGCACTTCTGTTTTTGTTTTAAGGATCAACTGTATCTCAGACAATTGATTACATCTGGTGTTGCAATTAGAGTTTCAGTACCTTCTCCTCTGGCTTTTGAAAAGCCTGTCACCCCAGCTGATGGATGGTACTCCGACACTGTTGCCCTGAACAATCGACTCTTTCCCGTCAGCATTCCCATCTCACACCGCTCAGCATTCACCTTCACGCTTGCTTTAGCTGCTTTTTAATACATTTAAACAATGCTCTGTCCCTGTTTATTCTACCTCTCTGGGTTTTTATTGTTGAGCCGGAGGGGGATTGGAACCACAGCGTATGTCAGGGATCGAGCACAATTTGCTCCGTAGACAAAGCTGACTCTGCTGCAGTAAGCTAGTGTCCCATCACAGCTTTCATCTGTCTGAATCCTCTTTTATGTACGTGAGGCTTCTGCTGCTTGGCCCACAGCTTCGTCTCTACTCTGCTGCTTTCAGAAAGCAGAAAAGACTCTTTTTATTTGTGCACAAGAAGCTGCATCACTTTCCCCCCTTCTGTTTGATTTGCTGTAGTGTTTGCCAACGACTCCTGGACTTGATTGGCTTGCAGTCTCTTGCATTTTCAGCTCTTTGCAGATTAACTTTTGCCCCAGAGTAACAAGAATAGTGGCAGGCGGACGGGAAACCTTAAGAAGACAGAAAAGGACGGAAATGGCGATGTTTCAAGATCAAGAAAAGCAAATTCAAGTGATGAGAGCTTGGGAGGTGGGGCTACAAACTGAACTGGTAGCTTTAAATGACAAAGAGCAGCCACCTGCAGTATTTCAGAGAGACGGGGCGGTGGAAGCTGAGGAGTGCATGCAAGTAGAAAGAGAGAGAGAGAGAGAGAGAGGGAGGAGAGGGAGGAGAGGGGAGTTGCAGGCAGCAGGCTGGTGAACGGACAGGACAAAAGAAGGACTACACTTCCACATGCAGGATTGGAGAGTCTGCTTTGTGCCGAGTGGTTTGTTGCTGACCACGTCCTGGATGGTTGTAGCACTGTTGTTTGCAGACTGTTTTGAAGAAGCTCGTTGGATTCTTACTTTTTGCTCTTCTTCTTGGAAACTTCCAGACTTCTGGAGTGACCAAATGGATTATTTAAGTGGGAATCTCAACGTGAACGGGGCTGGATGTGTTGCAGGTTGAGCAGATGGCTGGAGGACTGGAAGAGAAAAGGGGACTTTTGTGCGTGCATGTCAGACATGTTTGCCGTCCACCAAACCAAGCTGAGGCTCTAATGAAGCTTATGGTGTTAAAACAAATTTTTATGGCGTAAATTAAGTCGTGTTGTTTTTGTAGCTGGTGTCAGCTGACAGCTGTGTTCAGCCTCGGCTCATTCCAGTCACGTCACATGTTTTCTTTAGTTTCTCCAACTCATTCTATAGCTTTGTTGCTGCTTTTCCTGTTAAAGCTGCTTTAGCTCAGGTAGATTTGCAGGTCATGTTGGGACTATTTTTAGTGTAGGTTGACGATGTGAACAAAACTGGACCTATGAACTAATTAACCAGTTAACTTTCCACTTGACACAACCAACCCTACTTCACTGGAAGGACTCCCCCTGAAGTTGGGAACTGTTGCACGTCTTTCTGAGTGCCTTGAAAGCTGCAGCTTCATAAAAGACCCTTCATGAGACATTCAGACTTTTGTTCTGGCTCAAATCATAGTTTAGTTTCTGAGTCGGTTTGCTGGTGATATAATTTTTTTTTTATCCCTTTCGCCCCTCCACAAGAGGGTGGATTAATCCTTTTCAAGTGACTGGTTCAGCCTCCGCAGGCCTGCGGGAGCTGACGCCCTGTCCACAGAGGACACTGTCTTCACCGCCCTCCTGCTGCTGGTGCGCTCGGCTCTGCTGGCCACGAGTTATGTGGCAATGCCACTTGTCGTCCTCAGAGTGCCGCTGCTACCGGTTGAAGGGTTTCTCCCTGCTGAAGCGCTTTCCCCTGTCGGCAGGTGCTGCAGGCCGGCTGCTGGATCAGCCTGTGGGGGACTGGCTGGAGCACGTGGGGCTGCCGCAGTACGAGAGCAAGCTGCTCCTGAATGGCTTTGATGATCTACACTACATGGTGAGTTTCACACTGTTTCTGTTTCTCTGTGATATTGGTCTGTTTTCCTGGTTTCTAATGCTTTTAATCACTTCTGCAGAACCGTAACTAACGGATGTCACTTGATTTGTTGAGAAACGATCCAGTGACCTCCAATTCAAGTTTAATTTACTCCATCTTTGTGCTGTTGCTTCTTAATTAAGATTCTTCATTTGTTCCGAATTAATTCAGCACATATTTTAATGTTTAACATAACATTCCCACTGCATTGCTTCACCTCAGTGTTGAAAAGTATAGAGTTTGATTTTATACTTTCCAGCTTTGTACTTCTATGGAATCAAGAAAGTCGAGTATGGAAAAACCACTACAGCTATCGCCGTGTCCAGACTATATCTTGTCTATTATATCAAATAAACAAATAAATAACACTCATAAAAGTTGTTCAAATAAGTTTTTATAACACTGACTTTAAAGAAAAAAATGAACAGTGAATGAACCTTTCTTTATTTCCACTTTTAGTTCATGCACCAATTCCAGAAATGGAATTAAATACTTAGGTCCACCTTGCTAGTACTGAGTTAAATTCCCTGTTTACCTTCCGAACTTCAGAAATTCTGCGTGGCGTTGATTCAACAGGGTGTTGAAAACATTTCTCGGAGATTCTGGTCCATACTGACGTGTTAGCATTGCACAGTTTCTGTACATACATGATGCGCCGCTCTGCTCCGCCTCGTCCCAAAGGTGCTCGATGGGACTGATGACTGGTCTGTGTCCATTCCTCCTTCCTGTCCTCTCAAACTCAGCGGGTCGAAGCAGATGGCCGCTCGTCCTGAGCCTGATTCTGCTGGAGGTTTCTTCCTGTTAAAAGGGAGTTTTTCCTTTCCACTGTTGCCTTTGTGCTTGCTCAGGATGGGAGACTGTGACAAAATGAAGACAATGTCTTCTGGCTTCCTTCCTTAGATAGACAACTTTACTGCCAGTATTTGGCATTTACTGTATGTGAATGTTTCTGTTCAGTGGCCTGAGACGACTTCTGTTGTGACTTGGTGCTATTCAAATAAACTAAACTGAATTGAGCTGAATTGGAGGCTCTTATAGTCCAGTGAATTAAGACTCTTTGACCAGACAATGTTTTTACCATCTCTTATTAACTAATTATGTTGAGTCTGTGGGCGGTTGTAGCTTCAGTTTCCTGTTCTCAGCAGACAGGAGTGACATCCAGTGTTATTTTGTAGCTGCAGCCCCTCTGCTTCATAACTGGACATGTTGTATATTCACAGATGGGATTCTGCAGATACCATGTGTTGCTTGAAACAAGTGTTTATTTGAGCTGCTGTTGTCTTCCACTTAACCTGTTTGCTCGCTCACCTCTGACTTCTGTCATCAACAAGGCATTTTACTCCACACAACTTTTACTCTAGAGATGTTCTCATTTTTTTGGTCCATTCTCTGTAAACTCCTGAGCTGGTTGCAGGTGAAAATCCCAGTAGATCAGCAGTTTCTGAACTACGGCCATACCATCTTGAGTTGCTGCAATGTGATTGGCTGATTAGCTGTTTGTGTTAACAAGCAGTTGAACAAGTGGATGTAATAAAGTGGCAGGCGAGTGTGTCCTGTTTGTAATGTGATCGAGAAAAGTGCAACGTTACGGTTTAGCAGGCAAGTATATACAGGCATTTGTTTGAAAATTTAAATAAAATTTGTTAGATTTGCATTTGGGGGGTAGGAAACATTTGAAAAAATGTTCAGGCCCATGAACTTTGTTTCCCCAAAATTATTGTAACATTTAATACTTTAAATAAAACAGAATATCATTTAAAGGGAGAAAATCACCTCTATAATTAGTAAGGAATTGTTTCTGTTTACAAAATATGCACCGTAAAGCCAATGAGGTGAATAAAATATAGTGGGAAAAACATTTTCCACATCCAATAACTTTACCTACTAATAAAGGTAATGAAACAACAACTCTAGAAATACTGTTCTTTACTGTAAATTTACAGCTATTTTGAGGTCAAAAATGACTCAAAAATCAACAGGGAATTTGGAAAGTTTGGAAAAGTATGGAATTTCAAAATGAAAAACGTGTTTGAGCCTTTTCAAAATTTAGTGCTTTGTTTATGTTTGTGTTACCATACTTTACGCCGTATAAGTCGCATCAGTCCAAAAATGTCTAATAAAGTGGAAAAAACATAAATACGTCGCTTTGCCATTTAAGTGGCAAATATTATACGTCACTGCTGATGCTTCGAGTTTGTTATTTGTCACCGCTGACCACCTGGAAACGTGGGCCGGTGTTGTACCAAAAATTGATTGACCGCCTAATTCATTCAACCTTTATTTAGACAGGTAAATCCCATTGAGCCTCGAGGACTCATTTACAAGAGAGAAATGGCAGCCGTGGGGGCGTGCACAGGAGGACTTTAACAAGAATTTAACAAGATTAACACTTAAAAACAATTGTTTGTTTGCTTGAAATTATTATTATTATTAATTATACTAAAGGTCAACCTTTTCCTTAATAAATGCACTTTAATGGTCAAATCAGCTTCATTTCACCTGGGCAGTGCGGCGAAATGCAGCTGATTTGACGTTTGCACCAGGAGTTCTTTAGCGCGATGAAGGTGGCTTGGTATGTCAAGCCAAGTGTCTCATTAATAGCCACTTTCACCTATTAATGAGACGCTTGGCTTGCCATATTAGTCGCGGGCCCTCTAGTGGCTGAAAATGGTAGTGCTCAATATTTTCCATGTCAGAATGAATGAGATCATCAGATTTCAGCCAAAAATTGGTTATACATATGGGAGAAAAAAACATAAATAAGTAGTTTTTGTTGTATAAGTCGCAGGCATAATAAAATAAATAAAGTGCTATGTGTCGTCATCGTTGTATGTTCCCATACAAAGACGAAATTGGCTCTCTACATTTAACCCATCGCACCTGGGATACACCCAGGTGGAGCAGTGGGCAGCTATGTAAGTGCCCGGGGAGCAATTTGGGATTGGGTGTCCTGCTCAGAGACACCACAAGATGTGCAATGACTGGGGATTGAACCCAGGACCTTTGGGTCCTGAGTCGGCTGCCCTGCCCCTACACCATCTCGGCCCCATAATGCTAGTTTATGCAAAAAACTGCAACTTGTACAGTGAAAATCACGGTACCTCTTTTGTGATTAACTCTTTGGTTGATCAGTCACAAGTGTCTGTTAAACTTAACACTTAATTCTAACAAATCTCCAATCTGAGCTCATCTGCTTGCACACACTTTGTGTGACTTCGGTACATTTTGTTTGGTAAAGCAGCAGCTGGTGTCCGACCGCCTGGCCAGCGCGGGCACGCATCTGTGTGATCAATGGGATGCTGTTACCATGCCGACAGGTTTATACAGCCCATAGCCTGCCTCGCCACTGTGGGTTAGCTCAGGTGTTTTTGTTCCTAATGAGAACTGATGGAGGAGAGAATGAGGGACCCAGATGGTCTTAAAAACAACACAAACAATGTGAACACCGAAAGAAACCAGAGAAAACAGGTTTTGTCTTGCTCTGTTCTCATGGCTGATTTGTTTTTCTTAATTCTGGGCCTGTTTGACAAGAAAATAAAATCTCAAAATTAGGTAAAAGTCAGACTGAGAGTCTTGTATGTGACTAAAATCATATGTTGCCTATGCAGCTTTGCGTGCTACAAACCTTGATGAGTTAAAAAAAAACTTGTATTAGTCGTGACCCCTGTGATGTTTTTTAAAAATGTTGAGCTGCTTGAAGCCTACATGGAAAGAAAGCCTTCATGAAGTGTTTGAAGTTTGAATTTGTACCAAACTTCACACATTCACTGGTGTAGATGTAGTTTTCACTTTGATTTAGAAGTAATGTAAGAAGGGAAAAATAAAACTTTGAATAATTTTATGTATTTGGTAGCAGACTGGATCTTTTGTCTGGACCTGTTAAGTGTATTAGATGTCTTGTATTTGTCTGAAAATATCTTATTTTGTTTAGGTTTTCTGGGCAAAACCCCTTTAACTCAATGTTTCTCCCAAAACAGATAAGGTTATTGAATTAAGAGCAATTCTACAGTCAAAAGCTGAACCAGTCTTTCTTTATTACAATAATAGAACCAGTCTGCTGTTTGATGTGTGAGTAGTCCACGGCCTTACAAATTAATCTAATCATCCCTCCCTTCATTTATTATAAGTATCATTCCCAAGTTGTTTTGTCCTCTTCTTGTACATCATAGTTGGAAAAACAAAGACTGCACTTCTAAGTTGTAGTACTTCTCTGCAACACTATATTTTATATTTTACCAAATGCAGCCGTTTCTGATATGCAAGCCTTATGTTATTAAAAACAAATAGTAAAAATGAGGTCTTACAATCAAATTTCATCTTATTAGGTTACAGAAAGTGTTGTGTTTTTATTTGGAGTTGCAAATATTGCATGTTTGATCATCTGAATGAATGCAGAGTAACTCAGAGAAATGTGTGTTTCCTATCAAGTTTGTCAGTGTGAGAAGATTTGAGCCGGAACAGTTTTTAATCTACGTTACATAACCCAGAGATGCAGCATTAATGCTCCCCTCACCAGTGCTGAAGTCTGTGTTGAAGCCTCTGAAGTTTCTCTCTCTGGGTTTAATCTGACACTGGTCTTTAAGTAGCTCACACTCTTCCTCATCGTCCTTGAATCTTCTCCTTAAAGCAGAGGAATTGCAATATTTCTCTCTTTATGGCTTCCTGGACAGGTTTAGAAGCTAACTGTGACCTTTAACCTCAGTGTCACTCTCTGAGCAAACGTTGAACCAAGATTTGGATCCATTAAAATTGAGAAAGATTAGAGATCAGTTTAATAAAACCTGTTTCAAGCATGACATTGAAGCTTTTATTATCAAGGAAATATGGAAGTCGTGTTATAGGCTTTGTGTGCTTGTCTATTAACAAAATGAAACTCTCATAAAGTTATTATTGGATGTACATCTACAGCTGATAAGCATTTGGAGTCAACCTCAGGGGTCTGCAACTTTTGCGATAAAAGA